ATCTGGATGGATCATTGTGTTTTTGATCGATTTGCACATCAACTTACCAGTGAGGTCTCCTCCCAACGTCTTTAAAATGGTACGACTCACGGCACAATGGCACACTCACACTTGCACACTCACACTCACACTTGGCCCTTCTGCCCCTGATCCCTGCTGTCCTGTTTTTGTGCTGGAGGCAATGTGTTTGTTGGACTTCAGATTTTTAGTCCTCTCTTTTTTGTCCCTGCTTTCTCCCAGATTTGTTCCTGTTTCTTTGTTTTTCTCCTGGTTTTCACGTGCGTGGTTTTCCGCAGATACGGACACAGACTTCGGTGCTTTGATATTGAAGGCTCAGGCCCTGAAGGCTGACCGGCTCTGCGTACCTGGGCAGGGCGTGTGTCCCTGGGGAGCGATCAGATGGGCCATCTGCTTCCTGAGGAGACACCAACCATCAGCAAGATTTTCTCTTTTCTCCCCTGGGGCCACACTCCCTAGGGAGGAATTCTCCCACCTGGAAGCTTATAAGACTAGGATGGGAGACAAGATGGGAAAGGGGCCCAGCGGCCTGCAAATTCCCTGTGTGGACTTTGGCTGAGTTTCTTTGTTTTGGTGAGAAGCTCTGTCCTCAGCCCGCCTGAACCTTTTGCCTTCCAGAGCTCCAGTGGCCCTTTTTTTCTCCAGCTAGTTAACAATTCAGTGGTTTGATTGAGTTCCTTTTGTTCTGTTACCCTTTGGGCACCAGGCAGAGTAGAAAAAGATGATTTGCATACAAGCCTTCTGTTAGCACTTGCAGCAAGAGCCTTTGCTGCTTCTGACTTTGTATGTTGGACTGTATATTTCCAAATGTAAGCAGTCAAGTGTTTAATAGTGTCTTGGGTCAGTTTCTCCTATTGTGGGAGAAAGATCCTGAGACAAAGATTCGGGTGCTGGTGATTTATTAAGGGAGTGCTCCCAGGAGCACCCAGCAAGTGTAGGAAGGCCGAACCGACAAGAACTCGAGGATGAGAACAGCATCAAGTAAAGGCCTGGCCTCTGTCTGATTCTGAGGGAACCTGGGCATAGTATTAATACATCATAGACTTTACTCTGTGTCTACGCAGAGGAGCTGGGCCTTTGTACTTCATACTAGTCATTGGCTAAAAAGATGGGGTGATTGGAGGAGGCAGGAAGCAAAAACCTCCCAGGCATTTTTAGCTCAGTATTGGTCAGTGGCTCATTACCCAAAGGGAATCCTCTGAAGGTCTGGAGTGTGAGCTCTTTTGTTTTTTTTTTAAGATTTTAGTTAATGATTTGAGAGAGTGAGGGGAGGGACAAAGGAGAGGGACAGGCAGACTCCCCGCTGAGCAGGGAGCCAAATGTGGGGCTGGATCCCACGACCCTGGCTGGGATCATGACCTGAGCTGAAGGCAGATGGTTAAGGACTGAGCCCCAAGGCGCCCTGGAGTGTGAGCTCTTACAGCAAAGTGCGTGGAAACTAGAGGATAGGCCCCGCGGCGATAAAGGGGTTGCCTCAGAGGACTGTGGAGCAGGTGCTAACAGTGTCCATCCTAGTCCATACAGACATTAGATGAAGAAATGGGGTCCTCATAATGATAAAGCACTTTCCAGAGTTGTGTTAGAAGCTCGTGGTAACTGATCTTTAGAACAATTTTATAAGGAGAGAAGAGCGATATTGCCATCCTGATTTCTCAAAGTCCAGGATGTCGGAGATGAAGCGCCTTTTCTAACATCTTCAGATTGTAAGTCTAGAGTTTATGCTGGCTGCATCGTATTTAAGAGTTACATAAATATTTTACATAGACATACAGAAGGCATATAAGTATGATTTATTTAACATGAGTAAGTAGCACGATGACTCTTATAATTTAAAAAGTACAGGAAATATTATAAAGAATGATGTACTTCTTTCAAAATCATTTCCATTTAGGCTATCTAACACTGCCTAGGAAAACTGGGTTGAGTGGCAGGCTCCGTATTAGATGTCTGCACCGTTTAATTCCTACCATCATTCAAGGCTTCTCTCTGTGTTTCGTTCTTCGGATGATTTAATTAAAGCCAGTGTGAAAAAAATATATACGTATTAAAAGGTTCCTGGAGCCCTGCAAGAGGTTAATTCATTTAGAATGTATTTGGAGTTCTTCTGTAATTTTCCCATGGGGGCCTATTCACATATAATACTTATGACTCATGGCATTTCTGCCGAAGAATGAATATTCTTCCATAAATATTTCCAGTAACTCTTACAGTCTGTTCTTGACACATCACACACTTCCAAGTCGAGAGTCACTTACCAATAAGGAGTCTGCCTTTGTTTCCCTGTGTTTGAGAACCCCAGACCACTCACTGATGGAGAATCTCTCCGTGTGTGATGAGTTCAGAGACAGGAAGAGCAAGAATTTGCCCCACGGATTAACTCAGAACCAGAAAGCCCCAATTACGTTAAGTCTCCTCCTGTCGCTTGAACCCTTGATCCCTTCTGGGGATCTAAAATGGTGCTTTTCAAACCTGGTGACACATTAAAGTCACCTGGGGAGCTTTAAAATGCACAGATGCCCTGGCTCTGCGCCAGACCAGTTAAATCAGACTCGTGGGCACTGGTCTGCTGAAAGCCCCCGTGGGGTTGTTCTCACGCAGCCGAAGCTGAATGCACTGATCTGGAGTGGAAGCGGTGTGACGGGTCCATTGGTGTCAAGAATAGACTTGACTGTGCCCCGCATCTCAGAAGCAGGTTTTCAATTCCCTTTAAGCTGAGAATTTCTCCCCTTATTTTGGTCTTTTTCAAAGGCCTGGTTGGCCAACTTGAGGTCACTCCTGGGCAGACACCGTGCCTGACAATCCCGTAGGTAGGCCATCGAAGCAGTTTGGGATGGTTTGAGCACCTACGAAAAAGGAGCTGTTGCGCTTACGGAATCTGAACTGAAACATTTCTGCCCTAACGCTTCTGAGCCTCCTTTCTCCTCCGTGAGCTCCCGAGAACGTGGTCCAGCGGTTAGCGCCTGTGTTTGCAGATCGGCTTTTGTGTGTGCCCCCCCACCCGGCCTCCCCTGCCGTCCCCTGACCTGGTACTGTTTCCTCACTCTGTTTCTCAGACTTCCGCATAAGGAATCATCTGTGATGTTTTTAGAAATGTAATTGCCTTTACCCTACCTTAAAAGGTGTTGATTTTTTAGACCAGGGCATCTGCGTTGTTTTATTTTCACCTGTTCCCCCAGGGAATTCTTACACTGGTAATACAGAGAGCCCATTCTGAAAAACCACAACTCTCATTTCTTTAGTTGTTTTTGTTGTTATTTTTCCAGGAATGAAGGAAGGAATAAAGTGTGTTGTAAGAAGATACTCTGACATTACAATTTTGTTTTTTCCATTCTGTGAGTTAACATAAGAAGATTCTGCTTACTTATTTGATATAAAGTGTATACACACATTCACGCACGTATTTATATAAGAATTGATGAATTCATAACTCATATTGGTGTTATAATTGGCACCGTGTGACAAAGTCTGGGAAATTATACACACTTACTGTATTTAATGATTATTTGCTCTTATATATATAGAAATATTTTGTAGAATAAAATATCCGTACTAACTGGTCTTGCATATTTCAAGAGATTGGACTTCTGTTTAGGAGGTCTTGTATCTCTCCAGGATGGAGATTCTCTTACAGCATGGTAATTATTATGGAGCTCTGTCTCTTTTGTGGGGCGGGGGTTGCGGGTAGATCCAAGCTAAAAACCTTCAAGGATATTTTAAAATTTAGTAAAATCGTAGTTCCATGTAACTTTTATTTTTTAATGTTGTTTAGCTTATAGCTCTTAGATGGAGTAGTTTTTAAAAAGTTTGTATTTTAAAAGCTTATGCACTCTATGAGTGTCCTAATTGGAAAATAACAAAAATGCTTATTTGAAATTATGAACCGTATTAAAGCATATTAAGATCTTAAAATATACTGTGACATTTAAATCAAGTAACAAATAAAAATCATTTATATGCTTTGAATTTACAGATAAATTAATAATTTATGTATTATTAATATTTTAAATCTTAAATTTTGAGGTCACCTTTATTCCTTTCCTGCTAACATAAAGTAGCTTTTATTTCCTTTCCTGTAAAACCTTTCAAATAAAATTCTTAGGGGTGCCTCAGTGGCTCAGTTGGTTAAGCATCTGCCTTTGGCTCAAGTTATGATCCTGGGGTCCTGAGACTGAGCTAGCGTTGGGCTCCCTGCTCAGCGGGAGCCTGCTTCTCCCTCTCCCTTTGCCCCTCCCACCCACTCATGCTCGCTCTCTCTCTCTCTCAGATGAGTAAATAAAATCTTTAAAAATAAATAAATAAGGGGCGCCTGGGTGGCTCAGTGGGTTAAAGCTGCTGCCTTTGGCTCAGGTCATGATCCCGGGGTCCTGGGATCGAGCCCCACATCAGGCTCTCTGCTCAGCAGGGAGCCTGCTTCCCTTCCTCTCTCTCTGCCTGCCTCTCTGCCTACTTGTGATCTCTGTCTGTCAAATAAATAAATAAAATCTTAAAAAATAAATAAATAAATAAATAAAAATAAATAAATAAAATATTTAGGAAAAAAAGGTTTTTAGGAAGTCTTTGGATAATAGGAATTTTATGTGGTTAAGTAGTATATTTACATTTTCATATGCTATAAAGTAACAAATTAATAAATCTCCCGCTTAAGTAGGATTTGGGTTTGGATTATTATCATTACATGTGTATACTGTTGTCGTCGTTGTTGTTATTTTAGCGATTTTATTTATTTGAGGGAGAGAGAGAGCACGAGGTGGGTGGTTAGGGGCAGAGGGAGAGGCAGAAGCAGACTCCTTGCTGAGCAGGGAATCCGACGTGGGAGTCCATCCCAGGACCCTGGGATCACAACCCGAGCCGAAGGCGACGCTTAACTGACTGACCCACCCAGGCGCCCCCCACGTGTATGCGGTTATGCCATGTTACAGTTCAAAGTGATACAATGATGTACGACGTGGTAAAGCCTGCGTCTGACAAATGGCCATTTTCAGTTTCTTGGCAGTACAGAAGTGGAGCAGCCTAAAGGAACAGAAGTTGTGAGAGATGCTGTCAGAAAACTCAAGGTAGGGGAGGGCCTCCAGATGGAAGTCTCGTGTGTTTATCCTGTCTTAAGTCATCAGTAGGTTGATGCATATTCAAAATGTGAATAGCTTTGCGGCAGATACTAGCTTTGTCCTATTAAAAGGTAATAAATATCAACCAGATCAGGGAAACACATTTAATAATAAATATGACTCCACGATTATTTTTTTTTAATGTGGCACATTCTTCCTATTTGTCCATAATTTCTCCTGTTCAACATCAACAAAAAGTGGCAGTGTTCCCCAAGGTTGGCATTCAGTAGCTTGCCTTTACTTGCTTGGACAAGGGGGACCCGTGCCCTGACTCAGAGGCTGGTGAGGGCTAGCAGCTCTAACAGGAGATCACGTCCGCTAGCGGGAAGTGTGGAGTTAGAGTGGGTTCCAAAGCAGAATTTTGCGACACCATGTGTTAAAGATGTCCTAATGCCAAATCCCAGAGGATGTGGCTGTGTCCCTGTGCAGACGTGGGGACTGGTGAGACCAAGAGAGCAGAAGAGACATTAAATAAGCAAATCCATACTCATTATCACGTTTCCTGAGAAAATTCTCTGTAAAATGCCACGTATCTTAGCACATTTTTCTAAGTGTGCCCCATTCCAGAAGACCCTGTTCTCACTGAGATATGAAGATGTGAAAAATTCCTTCAATAGAATTCTCATCTTTATCTCATTAAGAAAATCTAACAAACGACTGCATTTTTTGTTTTTTTATATAATTCACTGTTTTTTGCTGTATTCTCACGGTTTTTCCCAGAAACAAACCTGCTCTAACTTTCTTTAGTTTAGAGATTATTCAGTTATTTCACAAGAGGGAGAGGCCTTTGGTCTTGGCTGGCAGAGTCCTCAACATGAAAAACATGCCTCTCTGCCTTGAGAATGTCTTATCAGGTGGAATCTGCTGATGTTTAAACTGAAGAACAGTTGAGGTGGCCTGGTGCGTATTCTGGGGGAAGAAAGTAAAATGGATAATAAGTTTATCTACGCACTTTACACGTAAATCATTTACTACTGCTTCCAAGAAAATATGCTGAAAGTTTCCAAAATGATATCTCTCCCATTTGGGAAAAAAGTGGATTGGGCAGTCATTTCTTTCCATTGCTCATTAGGTAATAATTCAGACTTGGCCTTGTTTGATCAGTACTTTTAAGTACTAACAGAAGATTAGAAAGACCTCACAGTTTATGAACTGTGAACATTTATGAACTGTGAACATTTATAATAATATTCTCTTCAAAATATTCAAATATTCAAAAATTCAAAAAATATTCAAATATTCAAAATATTGCAAACTCAGCAACAAATCCAGCTTCACTACAATCAGAATTTTTTATAAAAGAAAAACGGTATTTATACTTAATGTGTCTTTATGTCTAGATTTTAATATGTCTTTATGTGTTTTTATTCAGTCAACTCAGATCCCAAACCAAAAGGATTAAATTACATTATGACCAGGTGACATGTAGAGGTATTTGAAATTAAATGCTTTTAAACAGTGGCTATTTTTCATACATTTTCTGGAGACTTTTTGCAGTTCTTATGTTATTTTATATTTGGGAATGTATTCTCGCTAATAAAAGAATGTGATTTGTAGTTAGTATGCAGTATAGTTTTTTAAAAATGCATGTTCACTTGATAATTTTTGTTTTTCACCTGTCTTCCAGAATAAATGTTTATCTAATAAGCAATCTTTATGTTGCTGATTGCAAAAATTTTATAGATCAGGAAAGTGTATTTAAGGGTAATGATACATAAACTAAATAAAATAAATAAAACAATGTTTTTATCTAATTTTATTTTATATATATCTTGGTGTCAGAGGTCAGAGCTACAATTCAAAGCCTTCAAGAATATTTGCATTTATTTTAGAAATGTAGACTCTGGCTCCTTTTTAATTCTGTTGTCATGAGGGAATGGCCAGAAGGTGGTGCTGTGGTTCTACCAAAAAAAAAAAAAAAATTTGCTCATTGTTTTGTGTACACATCCCCCATTTTAATTTCCTGTTTATTTTTCTGTTTATTTTATATATGTATTCTGATTGCCTTTTTATCCATTACAGTTCAGCATTTAATTTTACTTGCCACATAAGTTAATATTTTATTTGTATCTGCTCATTTTTCAAAACTTTGTAATACTTTAGGTACTGGTTTCTGATAAGAACTTAAAAACTTAGGATTAATATAAGATGACAGGATACTTAGAATATTTTCAATAGTGTATTTTTTTATGCTCCTATGTTTAATGATGCCTGATTATTTTTCAAGAAAAATTTTTAAATTTTGATTTTATTACATACAGCTTTTCTATCATTTTATAGAGAATTTACACTTTATAAATTTTTTCTTAAATAATTTTATGTGTTAAAATTTCTTTTTAAAAGATTTTTATTTATTTATTTGATGGAGAGAGAGATCACAAGTAGGCAGAGAGGCAGACTGAGAGAGAGAGAGAGAAGCAGGCTCCCTGCTGAGCAGAGAGCCCGATGCGGGGCTCGATCCCAGGACCCTGAGACCATGACCTGAGCTGAAGGCAGAGGCTTTAACCCACTGAGCCACCCAGGCACCCCAATATAAGTGTTAAAATTTTTACCTTCAGATTTCATATTTGCCATAACAATATATTTTCTGTTTCTCAGTCATGGTCAACCATTTCTAATTCTTAATCCTGTTTTAGCCCCAAGATTTAAGAAAATAACAAATTTTCCAAAATGTAAGAATTTAAAAACCCTTTCAACTTCTGTATATTTAATATTAAATTATTAAGTGTTAATAAGTTATTGTTATTATTGTAATGAATTTCATTTTTTGTAGTGTTTTATTTATTTTTATCAATACAACTAGGACAAATGTCAGAGGACAGAATATATTTTATAAACAGTCTGCTCGTGATGTTTACATGTGGATGAATATTGATATATATGTCCAAAGCGTCTTAGTTTCTCTGGGAGATAAGCAGGGGGCCAGCATTCCTCGACCCCGGTGTTAGAGGCGAGATCCCGCACCCCATACAGCTAGATTAAAATTACGTGATGCTCCCTCAGCAAAGGAGGCTTTGGGAATTGCCGCTGAGTTCCTCTAATCTTGGTCTTTTTTCCGACCTCACTCTCTCTATGTAGCATAGCACTGTTTTTTCTTCATAACCAGTTATTTAATTAATAAAGTGTTAGGGCTTAATTTAATTTATACATACATACATACACAGCTGATTCCCTGTAGGATTATTAGGAATATCCTTAATGAAGTTAACAATTTATAAGAACCACAAAGAGGAAGAGTAGCTCTGAATATTTGACTCATAGTAATAAATTCATTGGTTTTCTTTCCTAATAAAGTATATTCCCTTAGCAGTATAGTTAGATTTCATTGTTTTAAAGTCCTTTGAGAATAAATAGAAATTGCATGATTGTGCTGTTGAAACACAGTGGTCCTCCCTGTAAGAAATTTTCTGTAGCTGTTCTACTTTCTAGTGACATACACTTAAGTAACTATGAATTTCCAGTAAAATACTTCATTTTTCCCCATCTTTTAATGGTGGTCAAGGATTGTTTCTGTGTATTTGTTTGTTGTATCCAGATATCCTCCAGATGCTTAGGCTTTACCCCCTTTTAATATTTTTTATTGGATTATTATATACAAATTTTGATGGGTAGATCACTATCTAGACTACCAAGAATGAATCCACTGAAGCAAACATGGAAAGAAATTCACAAAAGGCTCCTCAGGCATTAACATTCAAGTAGCAAATAGGGAGACAGAAGAATATAATGTAAGTAAGAATGATGAGCAGTCTTCAGCCTGTAAAGTAGAAGTATTGTGGAGCACAGTTAAGAGGTCTGTCAGGCTTTGAGTTAGAGGAGGCATGCAAACTTAATGCAGTAATCTTCGATTTTGGAGAAAAATGGACAGGAGTGAGAATATTCTGTTTAACCTACAGATTGAGCAAATATAACCTTAGGTGTCGTCGTTTGCGACAACACGCAGCAGTTGAAACCAGTAACCATCATAAGCCTTGATACGCATGGAAGTAAAACTGGGAAGTTTATTTTTTTTTTAATGTAGAAAATGTGTTGTGCAAAAGAAAAGAGTTACTTAGTGGGTAGCTACGAAACTAGATTCTCAGCCTGACTGCTACAAGCCCGTTCTATGACCAAGGTACTGGATTGGGTGACCTGTCAGTCTTCTTTGAGCACAATTACTTCATCTTGATAAGAAGCAAAGAAAAAGATCTCAGAAGCCCTTAGATTGGCTATTTTATTCCTTTTTCTTTATCTCATTCTTTTGTTTTCTTTTTCCTCCCTCCTTCCTCTCCTATTTTTTTTTCTTTTCTACCTGTAGCCCCCACTTTTTCCTTGTTTTCATTTCTTGCATGATTTCTTCTCTTTTCCTGGCGGAAGGGAAGTCCCTCAGTGAGGTTCATGTCCGTGGTTGTTCTGCGATAGACTTTGGGAAACTGAAAGGTCGCAGGAGAGGTTGTGTTCAGATGTGGAAAAGGCCACAAGAGCCACTGCTCAGTGTCTTGTTTCTGGAAAAGAGCAGCGTCCAGGAGGCCCACTTAGCCTGGGGCTGCAGCCCGAGATGGGAGTGGCTCTACTCGGAGGCCGTCACAGAGGTGGAAGCCACTGGTTTATTTTGTGAGCCTTCCTACGTGAAAACCCCCAAATTGTTTTAATCATGCTGGTACAGGAAGGAGATTGTGAAGGGAAAATAAGCAAACTGAATCTACTTTCTTTGGGAGAGAACTGGAATAATTTTCTAAGGTCTGAAAACAAAACATGTTTCTTGAAGACATGCAAAAGTTATCTGGCACGATTTCGTCCAGTTCATGTGTGGACTGTAAGACTTCTGGATGCAAAACGAGCGCTGCGTGCCTTCATAGAACAGGACAGACAGGTCGCTAAAAAGTTATACCTCCCCGGATGAAGTGAAACAAATGGTTCTCCTCCTCCCCGGGACAGCACGGCCGACACTTGAAGGCATTCGTGTGTGCATCAGTTACATCACTCTGATGGCCGTGCAGAGCCGTGAAAAGACAAAAGGGCTTCTAACCACTCTGTGCTTTAGAACGGAACTATACCACGTGTCCTCACATCTGTCCCACGTTAGAGAGATGCACAGTGCCGATAAATACGACTCACAGGAGAAGATTGAAACCCCACCCTGCCTCCCATGTAGTCTATTTTGAGTCAAATGAGATGGCCCATATGCTGAAAAATGTTTCAATAGTAGCGAATAACATTTTGAGGCCCTAGAAGAGGGGTAGAAAATCCCGTTTTTTTCCGTAGTCCCCCGCCACCCATTTTTTTAAAAAAGAAAGGTGGCGGAGGGTAGAGAGAAGTAAAGTAGGGACAGAGCAGCATTGCCAGCAGCATTGCCAAAATCAGGACACTTGGTCAACTTTGAACTTCAGATAAACAATGAGTAATATTCTTCGTGTTAAGTATGTGTCCCAGATATTGCATGGGACATACTTACACTAAACAGCATGTATGTATTATATGTGTATACACATATGTATGGAGTGTCGATGTGTATTCTAAAATAAAAGGTTTTTTTTTTTAAGTCACCATTTAATATTCATATTTAACTGGGCTCTTGGAATTTTTTCCACCACTAAATCTGGCAATGATGGGAGAGAGACAGGACTCCATTTACAAAGTGCATGGATGTCAAGATTCTCTTTTTTTATTTTATAACAAAACCTAACAAGCATTTGCATACACATACCAGTTCAATAAGAAGTTACAAGAAAGGGATTCCTGGGTGGCTCAGTTGGCCGAGCGTCTGCCTTCAGCTCGGTCATGATCTCAGGGTTCTGGGATCAAGTCCCGAGTCAGGCTCCCTAATCAGTGGGGAGTGTGCGTCTCCTTCTCCCACTGCCCTCCTCCCTGCTGGTGCGCTCGTGCTCTCTTTCTCTCTCTCCCTCTGTCTCTCTGACAGATAAACAAAACCTTCAAAAAAAGTGAAAAGGCTGATAAGCTTAATTACATGGAAACAAAAAAACTTAAAAAAAAGAAGTTACAATAAATATTACTATGAAAGCATTGGAAAATGTTTAGGTTTTTAAGATACAATGCTAGACTGAGTCTGGTTCTTTTAGCTGGGATAATTACTTCAGCTCTTAACTTCAGTATAAACATGGTAACCTTTCTCTTTGCATTCATTGATTTGATTGGGTAGGATGACATACCACATGAGGTAAGCATCTAAAAATGGCAAAGATGGTATATCCAGCACTGGTGAACTGTAAGTTCTCTAAAGGTATTAAAAACAGAAGATCCACAGAGAAATAAATTGATCTTTGCTTATCTTCCCACAGTTTTCATTTTCTTAACTACTTAGCATGAATATAATTGTTTAAATATAATGAGAGAATATTAAAAAATTTTCTAAAGGCTACTGAGTATCTGAATTTCATGCTAATAATGGTAGATTACTATGATGACTAAATACTTTGAAGCTATTTGGGTTTATAAAATACTTTATAATGGGTAATAATTTATTTAATAGAAGTCTAGCACTGAATACAATCTCCAAATACATATTACATATATGTTTTGTGTTCATTTTCCATGGAAACAGAATTAGAGTTTTCTGAATAACTTTTCATTTGTAGTTTGCAAGACATATCAAGAAATCTGAAGGCCAGAAAATCCCTAAAGTTGAGCTGCAGATATCAATATATGGGGTAAAAATTCTGGAACCGAAAACAAAGGTGAGTCTTCCTTTTGAGTGTCAGAAGGCACTCTAAACTTCCATTAATTGAGGTTATGTTCCTATTTCAGTAAGTAAGATCGGTTACCAACTGGACCTGGCTAGTTCTCAGTTAATGACAATTTAAGATCCTGTAGAATTTTTAGGAGAAAAACAACTTTTGGGAGTGCTTCCAAAGTGGCCTGTTTGGGGGATAGAAGTGTATTTAATAGTGTTTGGTCTTGTTTTCAGGAATTTTTCTTCGTGTGCTGTGGAAGAGATGGGTGAAGGGTGGTTCCCTGAGTATGAGAGGAGACAAAGCTGTGTTGTTTGTTGAAGTGTCCGGGACGGCCTCTCATTACCTGTAGATGGAATCGGTGCATATTAGTTTGCTAGGGCCGCCGTGATGATACCACAGACATGGTCGCTCAAAGAAACAGAAATTTACTTTCTCGGTCCTGGAGGCAGGAAATCTTAAGACAACAAGGGCAGTGGTGTCAGTTTCCTCTGAGGCCTCTCCTCGGCTGGCCGACGGCTGACCTGTTGCTCGCCTCTTCACACGGTCGTCTGTGCACATACATCCCTGGTGTCTCTGTCTGTCCAGTTTCCTTTTCTTATCAGGACGCCAGTCACATTGGACAAGGGACCATCCTAATGAACTCACTTTAATGCAATCACCGCTTTCAAACCTCATCTTCAAATACAGTCTCATTCTGAGGTATGGGATGGGTAGTATGAATTTTGGGGGAACATAATTTACCCCATAAGACATCGTGAACTTTTTAAGTTCTTGTATTTAAGAGCCTTTTCCCCTACAAATCCAATGAAAAAAATTTTAAGTATAACCCATTCTGGCTTCACATTTATTAATATGGATTTGTTATGGACTCATTGTTTTTACCCCAAATACCTGTGTTGAAGCCCTAAGCCCCAATGTGGCTCCTTGGAGGTAGAGCTTTTAAGGTAATTATGGTTACATGCGGTCTTAATGAGGCCTTCATCTACCGGAACTGGTGGGGTCCTGATAAAGACATCAGGGATGTGCAAACACAGAGGAGAGGCCATGTGAGAACACAGTGAGAAGGTGACCGTTGGCGACATGGAAATACGGCTCAACACGGAGTAGAGAGAGAAAGAACTTCGTTCGTGTTTACACTTGACAGTTAATAATGACAGATCCCTGAAAGAGCGTAAAATACAAAGACTTAATTCTACAAGATGACCAATGCTAGTATGTGGTGTGTGTGAGTGCGCGTGCGCGCGTGAGAGAAGGGGACCGGGAGGTGGATCATGGGACGCAGGCGGAGCTCAGTGTCATCAGCTGGTGATTCTGAAGTCCTGGTGGCACGTCCCCCGCAGTCGTGAGTTGTGCTTTCACAGCTGTCAACCGCATCACTCTGTTCTCTAAACTTGGGCTGTCAGATGTAACTTCCTCCCCCATCCTAAATCTCATTTATCAAGCATCAGTGCAGTGGGATTCAACTCGGTATGATTAACCGATTGAGTTTTGAGCATTATATTTTGCCTTACTCAAATCACTGACACAAAAGCTTTCCCTCCCTGTCCCCAGGTCTCAATTTCCTAGACTTAATAGCTAATTATTAAGAGACCCAATTGAATTTTTCCCTAAAAACATGTAAGTTTTCCCAAGCTTTTAATAGGGGAAAAAAAAAAAAATCTCTTTTTTCATCCCTACCAAATCAAAGCAATCTTGGAGTTTTAAAATCTTGGAAATATCTTATAAATTCAATAATATTGCATTTGAAGAGAGAGCAACTGACTCATTACCCATATATTACATATGAACATAGAGTATCTGAACTCTTCATCCATACATAGAATGTACCATTTTTTGGATCCACTAAAAGAAAATAACCTAAAAAAGGTTTTACCAGCTCCACTGAGCATCAGGACCCCGAGGAGATTCCTGGGAGTCCTGGTTGCTAGAATCCACTCAGGACTTTCAGGTTCAGAATCTGCTGAAAAGACTTCGCATCTATATCATAAAAAACAAACCCAGCACCACCGCATGTAACTCTGATACAGCCTGTTCTCAGACACGAGTTTAGGAAGTGCCGTTTGGGGAGACCTACATGAATCAGAACAAGGTCTGCTGTTCTTTCTGCTTCGGTTTATTTTATTTAGTTGTAGTGAAAAAAATATTATGCTCGTTAAATAAATTTATTTATATTAAAATGTACATGTATGAGGTAGGAGTTAAAAATTCTTTATTAATCTAACATGGACTTCATAGAAAATAGACCATTTTTCTATACCCTGTGGTTGAATGAAGAGAGAAGAGAAAAGCCATCTCGGTGGGCTCCAGTCTGTTTCTGTGTGTTTTCCCTTTCTTCTTTTCTCGCTAATCCTTCAAACGAAGATCATGCAGTTGTGGAAAGAGGTGGTGTGAGTGAAATGGGGATTTCCTTATTCTTTGTTCCGACTCCGATAAAATATGGTCAGTGTTAAAGTGTAATTGTGTTTTCACTATGCTTGACTGTGTTCCCAAGTCTGTACAGTCTCATCAAACATCAGGGCTACATTTAAAATTCACAAAGATTTATCACAATAACAAAAAATTCACAAAAATAATAAAATTACAAGTTTTAGCTTCCTAGTCTTCTTTTGTCGGAAGATAGCTCTGTCAATCTAAACAAAAAGTAACACGATTCCCGATTGGCATTACCAAAGGCTTTCTGTGACCATACTGGGTGGTAAGTGAACAGAGCCTGTGGATGCTTTACCACCAGCCTGTGTGAATGGTGTGTTTTCATGTTACTTGTAGTTTCTCCTACAAGTAGAAAAAAAAAAAAAAATCAGTCGTTTTTCTATGTTACATAGTCATGATATTTCCTCTATGTTATCAGTAACACGATGATACTATTTACAAACCGGTGTGTGCCTGCTGTCAGTATTTGGAAGCTGCAGGGTGGCTCAGTATTGTTTGATTGACAGTATTAACACTAAAATAAAAAAATATGTCAGCAAAAAAAAGACTGGCCAATCAGAAAAAGTATAGAAGGACAGTCTCAGACAGATATGGCCATTGTCCATCTTAGCACTAACCCCAAGAAAGGGAAGACGTCCTCATCAGATGCTGTGGTGAGTTGAGCCCCTCTTTTTGGCATTGTTCCTTCCTGCTGTCGAAATGGACGCATCAAGCTATCCAGCGATGACAGAAATGTTGCATTCGTATAGTGCGCTTCCTCATTCTAATTTTCATGCTTGCCTTTGATGACTTACCATTTGGTTTGTATGCAGGGAAAAAATACAGTGAGTGCTATACACAAATTCTCTTAACTTCTATTTCTATATCTTATTTGCTCATTTTCAGTCTGATGAGCAGTAATGAGAATCAGAGTGAAAGATCAGATCTCATCAAAGTGGACATATCAAACCCTGAACTTGGACAGATGTTAGAATGTATAATTAATGTCTGTTATATATATATATATATATATATATATATATATATATACATATATATATTAAACATATATAATATGTATTATATATATAAATATATATTAATATGTATTAATAATATATATTAAAATATATTTATATATATAGAATATGTATGTGCATATATGAAAAATATAAAACTGTAACCGTATATATATTTCTGATTAGTAGGGTTGATTCAGTAATTAAGATGCTTGATATGTAGACCTTCCTCATGAGGACATGTAAAATACGATTTGATGTGAAAACTAAGGTTGAAATGGTGGTGTGTTTCATAGGAAATCATGTGCAGAAGAATTTATGTTTTAAACTGTAATGTTACTGAAGAGAAGTAAGGTAAAATGAAAACGTTCTGGTAAAAAAGAGTTCTGCTAATTCTGTAATCTTGTGGAAGCATCTTAATTCTCAGGGCCTCCGTGTTCTTCTAAGTGAAATTTTAGAGTTTAAAGTAGTCTCTCACGGTCCCTTGCAAGCAGAAAGTGCGCGCACCTCTGACCCTTCCATATCCTGCTTGTGTTTCTCTAAGTCCCGCTGAGATACACCGGAGTTTAGTCTGAATCAGGAGGCCCGTCTCCTGCACGTATTTGTTTAAGTTTGGGTGTATGTGATTATAAGCCGAACTTCGACAGATGACTGTTTCACTTTTAAAGTCATGAGTTGTATGTTATGAACACAAGCTGGTATTTCAGAAAGGGAGCAGAAATCTCAACCGTTCATTTCCGTTTGCGTTCGCAGGAAGTCCAGCACAATTGCCAGCTTCACAGAATATCGTTTTGTGCGGATGACAAAACTGACAAGAGGATATTCACTTTCATATGCAAAGATTCTGAGTCCAATAAACATTTGTGCTATGTATTTGACAGCGAAAAGTGTGTAAGTATGCCAGACGTTTTAGGGTGGTTTGTTCTGTTTTACAAGGCAGGAATTGTCTTGTTTCCGGCATTAGTAAAGCATTTGGAAATGAATAAGGTCTGCAAATACTTAACTACACTAATAGATTCATCCTGTCATGAGAATGTGCTTCAGGGTCTCATCCCTAACTGAATTCTCATGCTTATGGGCGCAAGCTTGCGTGCACATTTCTTTCCATAGAACGTCATGCCTGCTTATGCTATGCATTTATTTCTTTTATCATCATGTATTTGTAATTTTAATCTCAACTGTGACTTAGCAATAGGCATGTGATGCAAAGAGTAATGGTGAGCAGAGTGTTTCTTTTTTTCTACAATGTGATGGATATGATAAAAATAAATATTTTAAACTCCAGGAAGTAAAATCTGTATGGCTCCTTTAAAAAATCTCCAGTACTTTGAAAAGCTCGTTCTTGATTTTCATTATTCAGAAAACTTAATATAATGAAAGGTAATAGAATTGTATGTGCATGAATGTTGCCTGCATGCATGTGTGTTAGCTTGCAAATGTAACCTCCCATTCTCAGCAAGTAAGATCAGTTAGGGAATCCTAAAGTTAAGTCCTGTAAAGTGCTTTTAATCATCTGGAATCTTCAGAAAACCATACATCTTGATTATAATAAGCGTAAGCTAATGTGAATCATAATCTAGTCTGACATCCTATTATAAAACATAAGATACAAATTCCAAACACACATTGCACCCATTAATGACTTAATGAAGGAACAGCATCTAACCTCGGCAACATCACTGGCTTAGACAGGCGAAGGAACTTAATTCACTTATTTTCTTATTTTTCTGCTATCAAAAATAGCAAAGAATTAATGTTATTATCACTCTCACATGATTTATTCCTCTGGTTCCAGTATGTGAGCTTCTTTTTTTTTTTTTTAATAAAGATTTATTTATTTATTTTAGAGAGAGTGCATGAGCTGGGGATGGGAGGCGGAGCGAGCAGAAAGAGAAGGAGAGGGAGAGAGGAGGCTCTGCTGTAAGCATGGAGACTGACACGGGGCTTGATCTCGCCACCCTGAGATCCTGACCTGAGCTCAGACCAAGAGTTGGACACTTCACTGACTGAGCCAGCCAGGTGCCCCAGTATGTGAGCTTCTTGAAAGCAAATACCTTTTTATTTGTCCATGCAGCTCCTGCATTAAGTGGACAAAAGATACTCAATGAATTTTTCCTTATAGAAAAAGGACCATATAGAAAAAGTTACAAAAGGTAGAGTAAGTTATTATATGTATCTTTTAAGCTATAATGCTCTAAGAATGTAAACTAATGTGCTAAGCTCTTGGCATCATAGTACTTTCTTGAGGATTTGATGATTATGAAACATCTCATCAGAAAAATATGCTCACCCGTATGACAATATTACAGGTATAGTAAAGCCTTTGCTTGTTTGTTGGTTTGCTTATTGTTTTAAGGATTTTATTTATTTGAGAGAGAGTGAGTGAACAAGAGAGGAGGAGTGGGGGAGGGGCAGAAGGAGAAGGGGAAGCCGACTCCCCACTGAGCAGGAAGCCGTGATACAGGGCTCTATCCCAGGACCCTGGGATCATGACCTGAGCTGAAGGCAGATGCTTGACTGACTGAGCCACCCAGGTCCCCCATAAGGCATTTTATATAAAGTTCAAGTTGTTTTTGAAATTTATCATATTGAGTGAGTGGGTTATATTAGATATTCCAAGTGTTTCTTTACCATGATCATTTGCAGATGTTTTTCTCTCTGTGGTTGAGAAGATGAAAGTTGATATTTGTTGAATATCTTCTATGTGTAAGATATAATAACCTTTTACCACTTATACCAGGCAGTAAACTCAGTTGTCCTTCTTTCTTGCTTTACACATCGAAATAAATGGCCTTGGGGTCCTTTGAAATACTCATAATTAGAATTCATTATAAATGTTAGCCTTCTTACAGTTGTGTGTCACGTGTTTTTATTTGATCTCCATCCAAATTTATTGGATTATTTAAAACATAAGCTTGCCAGAGTAACTGCGTAGTTATATTATTTCAAAAGTATAAACTCTGTTTCACCCTAATCATAATTGTTTATATTTGATTTCAAGAATTTAAATTCCTTGACCCATTATTCTCTTTGGATGTAACATACTAAATTTTTTTCTTCAGTGTTGAAGATAATTTCTTGGAGCCTAAAGCAGTGGCTCATAACTATTAGTGTATATAATATTCATAAAGAGGGCTCTTTGGTTTTCACTTCAAAAAATAAGTTCATATTGATTGAGGCTTGATCTCAGGAAATCTGTATTTAGCAAGTTCACCGAGTGATTCTGCTACAGGTAGATGGAATTCTGGGCTTTGAAAAGAGGTCCAAGTTACTTCTTCAGCTATAAGTGTGCATGACTTTTGTGAGCTCAAAGAGGCTATGTTTCTTCAAAATTTCATTATATCATTTCACCTCAAGGTTTTATTTGCTCTAATTATAATGACTATATTTACAAAATTGATTTGATATGTATGTTGAACTTTTGACGTGCCATCCTCTTTAATTCTCATTTTAACTAGCTAATCATGGAAGATTAAAACAGGAAAATAAATAATAGCCCAATTGGCAAAACTCTTTCCTCTTTACAAAACCAAGGCCAGAGAAGTTGAGTGAGTTTAGCAATTTACAAAGCTGGGTAATAACAGAGTCAGGATTAAAATGTAAGATCTTAGATTCCCATTGTAACGTTGGTTTCCATCATGCTGTATTACTTTTGTAATTGTGACTGGTTCCAGAGCCCATCCACTCTTATTGGGGCCTTCGTCTTATCTACTCATTGTATCTTTTTTAGTACTTCTGTGAAATTGTTGAATGTTTGAAAGATAGATGAAAACCAATCATAGTATGTCACAAGACTGAAATTCACAACGTTGTAAATAGTTTCATGCTGTATTTGTGAACTCCCTCCCTCCGTGGTGACAGTGAGGATCACATGGGGAACTAGAGTATCCAGTCCTGCCAAGAAGTAATGAAGAGAAGCCAAATGCGGAAGCTGAACCTCTACCCCACCAGGCTGTAATGAGGTAGTGATCTCCATTCCCATTCTCCTACTGGAATGGTATCTGAGTAAGCCACTAAAATACAAAGCTTAAATAATTTCTAGAGTCTTATAATATCAAAAATACCCAAGACTTGGTTAAAAGTCACTCATCATATCAAGAAACAGGAATATGTTAAACTAAATGAAAAAAAGATGACCTGTAGATTCCAACACTGAGATGAGAGAGATGTTAGAATTACTGAAGATTTTTAACAACCATCATAAAAGTGTTTTAAATAAATAATTACAAGCACTCTTGAGACACATTAAAAAGTACAGAATTTTATCAAAGAAATAGAAAATCTAAACAAAGAAAAAAGGCAAAAAAAAAAAAAAAACCCAAAAGGAGTATTAGAACAGAAAAACTACAATAACCAACTGAAAAACTCAGTATCTGGGCTCAGTGGCAGAATGGAGAGGACAGAGGAAAGAATTAGTGACCTGGAAAAAGGAGAGATTACAAAAATGTCCAATTTAAACAATGCAGAGATAATAGGCATATGCATGCACATACACACACACACACACACAAATAATATAAAAAGAAAACAGGACTTCAGGGATCTCTTAGTCTGTAACAATATGGGTGACATTTATGTGTCATCAGAGTCTTAGAAAAAAAGAAGAAAAAGAAGACAGCCTTGAAGAAGCACTTGAAGAAATAATAGCTACAAAGTTCCCAATTTTGATAAAAGGCATAAACGTATAGATTCAAGAAATTGAGTGGACTCCAAACAGGATAAACCCAAAACAATTCCATGCCAAGATGTATCACACTTAAACTTCTGAAAACTAAAGACAAAGAAAAATCTTGAAGATACAGGACATAATCAAGTCCTATAGCAGAGAAGTTATCTTAAATACAGTTTATTTCTCTTTAGAAACCATGAAGGCAAGAAGGAAATAGCACAATAGTTTTGAGTGGTGGGGTGGGGTGGGGGGGGAGAACTGTCCAGAATCCTATATCCAGAAAAAATACATACTTCAGGAATTAAGGAGAAATTGAAAAATTATCAGATGAGAGAAAACTAAGATAATTTGAGTCACTAGACCTATCCCAAATAAATGGCTAAAGAAAGTTCTCTAAACAGAAAGGAAACAATAAAAGAAGGAACCTTGGAACATGAGGAAAAAGAACAGGCTAAGCAACCATGTGGGTAAATCTTTACTTTTCTAAGTTATTATTAAAAATAGAAAATACCAACAGCATTTCTCACAGAACTAGAATTTTCCAACAGTCTTAAAATTTGTTTGGAATCACAAAAGACCCTGAATAGCCAAAGCAACTTTGAAAAAGAAAAGCAAAACTGGAGACATCACAATTCTGAACTTCAAATCATATCACAAAGCTATAGTGATAATAACAGCACGGAACTGGCACAAAAATAGATTAATGGAACAGAATAGAAAACCTAGAACTGAGGTGACAATTATATTTTCAACTAATCTTTGACAAAGCAGGAAAGAATATCCAGTGAGAAAAAGATTCTTCAACAAACGGAATGGGGAAACTGGACAGCAGCATGCAGAAACGAAATTGGATCACTTTCTTAGACCATACAGAAATGTACAAAATGCATAAAAGACCTAAATGTGATGAAACCATCAAAACCATAGAGGAGAACATAGGTTGTAACCTTTGACTTGGGCTATACCAGCTTGTTTCTAGGTATTTCTCTTGAGGCAAGGGAAACAAAAGCAAAAATAAACTATTGGGACTTCATCAAAATAATGCACAGCAAAGGAAGCAATCTACAGGGGCGCCTGGGTGGCTCAGTGGGTTAAGCCTCTGCCTTCGGCTCAGGGTCCTGGGATCGAGCCTCACATCGGGCTCTCTGCTGAGCAGGGAGCCTGCTTCCTCCCTCTCTCTCTGCCTGCCTCTCTGCCTGCTTCTGATCTCTGTCAAAATAAT